GATAAATATAGATTTGCAATATTTGTATCATAGATTTGAAATAAAAAAAACCAAATGGATTCAATTCTACTTACTGTCCTGTACTTTGCTTTTTTATGGTTACTTCAGGAAAAGGATATCGATTATCTTTAGGATTTTTTAAATCTTCTAATAATATTTTAAGTAAATTAATATTATTATTTTTAATAGCATAATGAATAACTGATAAACTTTCGGATAAATCATGTCTAATATGAACCTACAAAGAATGATTAATATTATATACAATAATCTAATCATCAAATTTGTTTTTTTTTACCGAACAAACACGATCAACATCATCAATAAGACATTTTAATAGTATTGGATCATTTAAAATTACTGCACGTATAGCTAATTTACTCTGAACACTAGATGATATAAATGGAACAGGTAAACTAAACAAAAAGAAAAGATAACAAATGATGATTCAGTTCTTGATCTTTGATCGAAATGATTTTTCTTTTACTTGTCTTTAAAAAATGGTTCAGTCCGATATTCTGTTAAGGCAAGATTTTCCTTGAGAAAATGATTACTTTGTACTTTAAATAACTGTGCTGTTGACATGGTTACAGGTTTTTTTGCTAGAAAATATTATGTTGCAGATTTAATATGAAATTTGATGTCGAACAAATTTGTTTTTTTTGCCGTTTGCTTCTGTTTAAGTACTTTCTTTTCTCCTTCATTAACTTCATCAATATCTTTGGTACGTCGTCGTTTACGTACAGCTAATTATATTAAAAAAATATAGACTGAAGATAATAATCGATGGAAATATAAGAAAAAAAAAGCGATAACTTACGAGCAGCTTCAGTACTAGTAATTCGTCGTCGTTTTTTTGTTGATTGTTTTTGATTATTATCCGACGTTATCTTTTGTTTTCTAATCTTTGATGTTGATGATTGAATTGTTAAACTATCATCTATATTTAAACTAAAGGATTCATCCGATGAAATTGATTCACCTGTAATAGATTTTTCTAAAAGCTGATTTGTTTCAATAATATCTTGTTTTTTTTTAGTGATATCGTTTTATCTGCATGATGAATAACATTTGGTATTTCAGTAAGAATTGTATGTGGATCAAGTTTATCTTCTTAATCAAGTTTAAAATGTGTATTTTCATCAACTAATGAACACCATCGAATACAAATTTCTTTTGTATCATTATAAACATTTTGAAGAATTTGACAAAGTTAAAATGAATTCTCAGGACTTCGACATGTTATAAAAGTTTTATCGGAATAAAGAAGTGTTCGATGATTAGTTGAAGAGTTCGAAAAGGATAGTTTTTGAAATTTTTTATGAGTTACATTTTCGAATTTTGATGTAGAATCATCATCGTCATTATCATCTTCATCGAGATGGTTTTGATTAAATTTCGGTCTGTATGCATGACGATCGACTTGAATAACCTGAGAAATAGAAAAAAAATTTCAATATATTTTTTTCTATATAAATGATAGATCTCTTGTTAGATATGTGTTCAAGTCAAACTATGATGTTATGATTAATGTTAAAAAGAATTTTTTTGTTTCTATAAATACAGAATTAATCGAAAGTTTTGTCACTTACTTTTCAATACTTTCCGTCCAATCCTGGAGAAACAGATATTTTTCGTAATTCTTCACTTTTCCTCTCTTTTATTTTTATGAAAAACAAATACATCATCATTGATTTTCAACTTCGTCGACTATCTGACAAATCAGTTGCGTCCATAATTATTCTAAAATCGGTCAAATGCAAAAAATTGAATTCATAGTTATGCGATGAAAATACAATTCAAGGACAAAACTCACTGTATAATTTAATGAATTTGTTTTCGTTTATAGACAAGGACAATAATGCGAATAAATGAAAACATGTGAGCAGTATTAGTTGATATACACATGAAGGAGAGAACAAAATGATAAAAGAAACTGTAATTACACAACTAGAGTGACATTCTTCTTCTCTCACACTCGATGAGTAGTTTGTTGACTTACGTTTAACGTCCGTAGCTATACGTGTTTGTGTGTCCCTACCAACAGAGTAAAAATTCCCATTGGATTGTAAGCTGATTTCCTTGTACGAGGGTGTGGGTATGGATGAAGTTTAAAATAAGCCCCACACCCTTTTAGATGAAGCTTTATTACTAATGGCAGAATATAATTTTTGTTGAATGATATATATCGAGCAACATTTAATGTATTACGAAGATTCACAATAAAAGCAACAATACTTTTCGTTGAACTAAAATAATGTAAAGTATAAAGTTATTTGTCTTATAATTCAAATCGATATATAAGATAAAGTCGCGTTGTGTACTAAGATTAGAGATAACTGTTCACTATAAATGACATTTACTTCAGTAGAAGCATTTGTTGAATCCTCCGTATCTTGACCTTCGAATAATTTTAATTTTTGATTTTTGAAATGCAGCGCCCTATGACAGAGTATACCCTAGATTCATATGAAGACTCTTTCATTAGAAAATCTGGATATATATTGCCAACAATTTTTCCAATTTCTTTTCTATGATCTCAATTTATTTGATATCCTGTTTTACCAGAATCGAGACTATAATCCATAAGTAAAAAATGATATGTAGGTTGCATGATTTTCTTTATTTTTATCAACAACAATAGCATGTAATGTATAGATTTCACCCTAACTTGTTGCATCTAACAAACACCGACAATAATTTATAATATTTTTAGCAGCAATAACCATCTGGAATGAACATCCACACTCCTGATCTGATGAGGTGCAGTGTACGCTTCTGATAAGTATATAACTAAATAATCTCATGTTACCATGGGTGGTTCTTTTTTTTTTGATATATCAAGAAAAATGTCAGATTGTCATTAGCGAAAACATCATTTTGTTTTGAATTAATATCAATTAAGATTATTCAATGAATAAAAATAGATCAACCATGCAATATAATCTGTTCTCTATCGTGATTTTGATGTTTTGTAACATTGATTTCGATCGATTAAGTTAGAAAAGTTGTCTTTTATTTGATCTAATATAATGAACAAAAATTACTATATAAATAAAGTACGATGATTTAATAAATTCATCAGTAAACAAGTTTTACTTATTCAATGATAATAAATAAATCATATCAATTTATAGTTTACATGAAAAATCACAAAAATTCTTAATTGTAATCACTGAATTATTTAACTGTAAATGTTAAAAATGGTCTATTGCAAAATATTTATTATAGGAGATATGACTGGAATGTTTCAACAGCAACAGCTTTGTTAAGAAATCTCAATACGTAATATTTTCCCCTAAATGTTTAACTTAACGAATGTATCAGCTTGTATTTAACCTTTCAGAAATATTTAGAATGCTTGTGTTATTAGTTATTCAAAGAATACTTAAAATAAAATTTATTTGATGAAACGATTAGCAAATTTCATAAAAGCATGATTCTTTTGTCAAACATGAAGCTGAATATTGACTAAATTATTCTGATTAAATGGTATAAATATTATTGCATTTATTCACTTGTTTATATGAACTATCGGGAATATTATTCATGAAGAACATTAGAATTCTTATAAGAAAGAAAAAGGCATTTTCACCAAGTGTAAGGAAAACACTCTGAACTTTTACTTTTCTTCAAAAAGCAATTTCAAAGACAAAAAAAAAGAAATCGAAATACCATTTTGAGTTTCTTAGACTTCGATCGTAGAAAATAAAATCATACAATGCATTGATCCTTTTACACTTATTCAGTCATTTTCATTACTGAATGGTTTAATACATCAATATTTTATTTCAAATTTTTCTTATTTTATTTACCAAATCAAATACTATTCAACTAGACAATACACAGGAACGCAATTAAAATCATTTAGAACGATCATACTGACATACTTCATCCATTCAAATTTGATTTCATATCAATAATACTACTAATATAACGTCTACATATGATCGATGGTGAATTTTTCTCCTTCTAAAAAATAACAAATATCATCTTCTCTAATCATATATGTAAATTCAGTGTTTTCAATATATTCAATTATTATCAGTAATGCAATACTAATGAGTGCTATCCTAGTTTATTCTCAATCAGAGAGAATTTCTCTTTATTAAATTTATTTCTTCGAAAATAGTAGAAATCGATTAAACTTTGTTTTTTACATATTCGAGATTATCTCTATAGAATTGAATATGTGGATGATTAGCTTGTAGTGAATCTTCTACCATTTTAAGAGCCCGTTCACAATGTAAGATAGCTTTTGAATGATCTCCAATTTCAGATAAAGCTATTCCAACATGGCCATAAGATGCAGCCAAACTTGGATGATTTGAAGGAAGAGTTTTTTCACGAATTTCCAGTGCTTTTTGATGTAATACTAGTGCATTGGAATAGTTACCCATATTTTCATAAACGGAACCCATGTTGTTGTAAGAACTGGCCAAGTCAGGATGATTGGATGGAAGAGTTTTTTGGCGAATTTCTAATGCTTTCTGATGAAATGACAATGCATTGGAATAGTCACTCATGTGATTATACACCAAACCAATGTTATTGTAAGAAGTAGCCAAATCATGATGATTTGCTGGAAGATTTTTCTGACGAATTTCCAGCGCGTTTTGATGAAACGACAAGGCGTTCGAATAGTCACCCATATTTTTATACACTAAACCAATGTTATCGTAAGACGAAGCCAAATCGCTATCTGTTGGTGAGAGAACCTTCTTTTTGATTTCAATGGATTGCTGAAAATAAGTAATCGCATCTGTATATCGACCTTGACTATTCTTTATCATTCCAAGTCTATGATACATAAGTGCTTTTTCTTGATCAGTCGTTGTTTCACCGAGAAGGATATCGTAAACTTCTTGGGCTTTATCGAATTTTCCGAGTTTGATTAACAATAAACCCAAACGATCCCATCCTTGTGCTTCCGAATAGATCTCTTCGCGCATGTATTCAGTAAGTGCATGAATTTCCGGATCATTGTCATCAGTCAACATTAAATTGACTTGCCAGAGACGATTATTTCCATCGATTTGTTTTATTGATTCAATACGAAACTTGGAATGAGTGGAGAAAAGAATTTCCTCTCCTTCTTCGAAATATTTGACGTCAGATATTTTCGCGAAAGGAACAGACGATGCTGATGGATTAATAGTTATCTCAAAGAGTACTCCAATTATGTCGGGATTGCTGTGACTAGCGTCAGCAAAGAAAAAAGATATTTCTCGATCAAGACTAGTCGACAAAAAGTTATTAAATGATAATAGACCACCTTGTATCTTGAACATTTGATCAAAATTTGCTTGTGACATCCCTTGACCACGATAGACAGTCAATGAATTTGAAGACGAATTTTCAGAGAACTGTTGAGCATAAAGCTTAGAGATACTATTATGAAGATCTCTAATGAAAAATCCCATCTTGATAATGAGATTTACTTCCATCGTGCGTAACGATTGACCAAGCATCGAATAAAGGAAGGAGTCGGATGTATACCACCATATCGGATCATGTAAATGGTATTCTTGCTCGAGTTTGTCGATGGTTTTCAGTCGGATAGAATCGCCTTGGTAAAGTTCACGACAATAAGAAATAAATTGATTAAAATGTTTTTCTTCGAAGTCAATGGTTAATAAAATTTCTTTTAAAATTTGTGTATACATGAATGATGGATCTAGTCGATCGGAATTTTGTCTATGACTTTCACTATTAGTGGAGACGGAACTAATGGTGACCAAATTCTTGTCATCAACATATGCTGGTTGTTGAAGTGATTTACAGATTGAATCAATATCTGTAAATACACCGTTTATTTTTGACCATTCTTTGGTCAAATCTTCATGTTGAGCTCCATTCTCAACTAAAATATATATTGTATCGATTAGTGGAATGTCATGAACGACAGGAACAACTGTTTGAATGAAGGAATCAGAAATAATCATAACTATTTTTTCGTCTTGCAGGTTAGTTATGAAATCGATGCATTCATTCACATCACTGAATGAATATATGTTGTTGACTACTTCTTTTAATTTCTTATTGGTATTGATATAGTAGTCATTATTCCTGTCATTAATTTTGGTGTCAAGCCACACCACTAAGAAGTTTTGAACTATGTCAGTAGAAGGAAGGTGTCGTCGTTGTATACTTGTATCATCAAATGGCGTAGTAGTAGCAACAATAGCAGTTGTTGTTGCCGCTGATTTTTGCTTTGAGTCCATAGTTTCCGTAATTTTTAATCAATGAAGGACAAAGAAAATGACTTGAAACGATTTTATAGTATATTGTAATATTTGTTTTTAGCTGTTTCGATTTATATTCGTGCGTTGTTATCAAGCGAGTTGTTTTTTTCCTTTTGCTTCACTTCAAGGTTTTGTTGTTCTTTTTCTACCTGTCGTTGTCTATGGTGTCACAACGGCAACGAACGAGTGAAAAAAAAATGATTCATTGCAACATGACTGCATATACTGCGTCACATATTACTTCCTTTTTATGATGTTTAAAAGTTTTCTTTCTTATGCTTCTTATTGTTGTTTGAAAATACATTAACAATTTTTATTTCTGTAGATTATTGTCATTGTTTTCAAGATTTGTTTTTTTTTCAACGAAAAATAAATCGATTTTGCCACAGAATATAAATAGTGTTTTTTTTTTGACATGCATAATATCACAGATTTCTTAAGCAAAAATCAAATGAACCTTTATTTATTAATCTATTTCAAAAGCTAGCAATAGCGTCTATAATATTCTTCTTTAGTTTCGATATTATGTTAGTGTATTCCATATCTAATTGCAAAATGAATTCATTTTTTAAATTCACTTCGAATTATCGTTGTGAGAACATGCTGCAGCAATTTTCTTGAAAATAAAAATACAATTAGCAACAGTTCATTGACTATATGTCTATCATTTTCCTATATTTTGTTAAAAATAACTCATAATGGTAACCGATCTTTAATAGAACGAAAACTTCGGAAGATATCCAAAATCGATATTTACTTTGTATCATCATGACATAAAACACGATTTCAAGTTGTGACGAGCAAGTGACAGACAGAATACCAAAGATGACTATACAGTGGTTCACACTAGGACAAAACGTCTTTTCTTGTTTACTGTGTAATCGAATAGAATTTTTGTACAAATTTCAGTATACTGTTGTATGAGCATGAACTAATATATTTTTGCTTTTCGTGATAATGTGTTTAGTTAATTGTATATTCTAAAGAAAAAAAAACCACGCATACCAGCTAATCATTGAAGATATGATGAAACTTAGATTTCGCTCAAGATAGTAGATACTAATTATATTTTGAAGAAAAAAAAAGGAGAATGTTGTCGTTTGTTTTATTTTAACATTATTAAAAAAATATAACAACGATTCAATTCAATGAAAAGTTGTTCTGTTACTCAGTTATGTTTTTGTTTGTAAAAATTATTCTTGGAAAGCTGAATTTTTGTCCTATCACTTCATTCTTTGATAGGTTATTATAAATGAAAAAAGAGATTATTGCTCACCAGGATGTAATGATAATAATCCAGCTTGGAGAATTTCATCAACAAGGATTTAATTTGTTTCTATTGATGTACTTGAATGAGTAGATTGCTTTTTAACATCATAATTATTCTTTTCATTCTCAAAGAAAAAGAAAAATTCAGATAAAACTTATTTATCTGTTACAATATCAATACCAGATGGTATTTTTGATATTGCATATTGATGTTGAAGTTTACCAATTTTTTTCTTGTTGATCATATTCGACATTGTGAGCAATAGTCTTTGGAATAATTAATAATGATTCAGCAAATGCCTGAATAGAGTGGAGTGTGAGTGTGGGTATCAGTGAAGATAAGACTCACACACCCACATCCAATGTGACCGAGTTGTATGTTTGTAAACTGATCGGCATCATGAAGAAAACGACAAATTAAAGAATCCAAGTGTCAAACTGTACATAAACAGAAGTGTTAAGTACGCCGGTGCTGTTGTACAATATTTTGACATCAATTTTTATACACTCGATTTGGTTCTTTCATATCAGCAAACTTTTGATACTGTGCCTGCCATTATCCAATATGCGCATGATGGCAGTAAAACGGCACTGTTTATTATCCTAGTAGAATTCTACCCATCTGATACTAATGCTCATTCTCACATCTATTTGTTTCCATTGCATTTTAACGTTATGTCAATATATGGGATGACTATATTTATGTAAGTGCTAATGAATTAACTAATTTACAATTACGTAATCCTCAGTTTATGCATCCAATTGATGGGAGCTCACTATTTTCTAAGAACTATAAAGTATAGACTGATAAAAATTGAGGTCGAAATTTCGTGCTCACTTGTTAATTACACGTTCAGTATTTTAAAAGAGCAAAATGCATAAAATATTTGAACATGTTTAAAATATGAATATAGGTAAGCTTGTTTTTTTACTCTTAGCTTCACCTCTAAAGCACTCATTACTAACAGTGCAAAATATCTGGTAAATTTCAATAAGATTATCAAAATTCGGTGGATCTATTTCATCTTTGCGACTCAAATCTTTTCATGTTGAGTTGTACTTCTATTAAAAATATATTTTGATTATATTTGTCATTATGAATTTTTAATCAAAATTGAAACTGTTTTTTTGTATGTATTCATATTACAATATTGTTTTCTTATAGACTATCCATCGGTCAAAGTGATTAGATACTTCATTATTATAAAACTTGATTATAGTGTAAGAATTAATCTTTTTTTTGTATAGTAGAAAACAAGGATCGACACGACGAAAAAATGTCTTTAACTGACTTTTGAACATTTTCATTTACACACTATAGAGACATTGATAATGATAGACAAACAGAATGAAGAAGAACAGTATGCAACTTAAAACATCTTTTGATTATTATTCACTCATGTATATCATTATGATCTACTGTTTAACCTTTTACTGTAATAAGGACGATTTTGTTCTCTTTGATGACTTTTTACTCTTTCTTCTATATGAAAACATGCTGTGAAGATGAGAGATATAACTTGTAACATAGAGATAAACAAATAGAACGATAAGATACCTTACATGGACATTTTTCGTATTAACTTCGTCGCATATAGTTTAGTTTTTTTCTATTCATTGTTTCTCTTTGTTGAAGGTGTTATTAAGTGTATTTATGGCAACTTCATCTATACAACGAATACTTGAACTTCGAGATGCATCTATTCCAAAGGATAGTTTGCTTGGACATTTACTTCCTGATACATCTGTTCTTGATGTAACTAATATTCCACGACAATGTGGTCTTTTATCAGATGATGAAATTACTATTACTGAACATTATTCAGCTACTCAACTCGTTACTCAACTTGCTCAAGGTCAACTAACAGCTGAACAAGTTATTAAAGCTTATCTTAAACGAGCTGGTATTGCTCATCAATTGACTAATTGTGCTACAGAATTTCTTGTTAAAGAAGCATTAGATCGAGCTAAATATTTAGATGAAGAATTTAAAAGACGAGGAGGACCAGTAGGACCACTTCATGGTTTACCGACCTCTCAAGGATATGATAACTATGCGAGGACGACGGGTTAATGCAGGATGGATAAAATGGATTGATAGAATTGCTGAAGATGATGCTCTTATTGTAAAAATTCTTTATGAAGCAGGTGCTATCTTCTATGTTCGTACTACTGAACCCCAAAGTCTTATGCATTTAGAATGTAGTAGTCCTGTTTATGGTACTACTTTGAATCCATTTAATCGAAATTTAACTTCCGGTGGAAGTACAGGTGGAGAAGGTGCTCTTCTTGTTCTTAAAGCTAGTCCAATGGGCGTAGGAACTGATATTGGTGGAAGTATACGTTCTCCAGCTGCTAATAATGGAATTTATGGATTGAGACCAACTACTTTTCGAATACCACTACAAGGTGTGATGGTAGCACAAATTGGAAGAGAGAGTATTATTGCTGTACTTGGTCCACTTGCTCGAAAAAGAGAAGATATTAATCTATTTATGAAAACAGTACTTGATACCGAACCATGGTTAAGAGATCCATCTCTTGTACCTATTCCATGGAGATCGATTAGTTTAAATTCAAAAAATTTGACAATTGCCGTAATGTGGGATGATGGTATTGTACATCCTCATCCACCTATTATTCGAGCTCTTCATGAAACTGTCGAGAATTTAAAAATATCAGGAATTTGAGTTATTGATTGGGAACCAATTGATCATCAGAAAGGTTGGAATTTGATTAGTGCACTTTATCATTGTAATGGAGCTGAAGAAGAGCGAAGTCTGATGGCAGAAGTAAATGAACAACCATTACCATTAACAGATTGGATTATTAATCAACCAAACGTAAAGAAAAGAAATTGGATAGAAATGAATGAATTGATTTCTGAAAGAGAAAACTATCGTAAACTCTATGGACAAATATGGAATGAACGAGAAGTTTTCTTAAATACTTCTAT